TTTTAATACTTCAGCTGTTTTTTTTTAGTAGTGAAACCCATTGACATCTTTAGTAAGAGTCTGTTTAAAAGAAAGAAATTTAAGTGAGACAAAGTACGGCAGCAATCGAGCGACACAAATTGTTTTTTGGTCGCGTGCACAGCAGTCCATTCCCCGATTTTCTTCGTCTTTCGACTCTATCCACTCTCCAATTTTGATTCCAACACGCCAATACAGCAACGCTGCGATCCCCAAATTTGGGTGAAAGGAAGGCCCCTTACCATCTAGACAATTTATGAAAAATATAGAATATAGACAGACTTCTGTGAGACATTTGCGTCCCAATACCAGGTGTCATGTAAGGATCTTACAACTGCAAGTGGATGTCACGAAGGAGATACATATTTCATATTCATGCGAGCATCCATTCACACCAGGTGCGAAAGAATGCAAATGAGGAGACAAGGTGCCACAAGTCGTGGCGTCTCAATTGCTGAGATGCTGAACCTCTGATGGGAAACATGAAGAAACAACCGGAAGAAAGGGAAGACAACTTTTGGCATATGAAATGAGAAAAAAAGCGTTAGGGAAAAATCTAGTTGACAGACTGAAGCTAAAAGAAAACACAGCGATGGAAAAACTGATGCAACAAAACATTTTGTCACTACCGGGAAATGGTTTAAACTTAAAAGCTAACAAAATTACAAAAAAAAGAAAGAAAGATTAGGACAAAGACGAAGCTAATATACTCTTAAAGTTAAACAAAGGCTCTTATTGTTCGATTGTTTATAGGAAATATAGAAGAAACAAGAAAGGAAAGCTAACTTCGGGCGGAGCCGAAGTTTATATACCCTTGCAGCTAAAACCGGATATATATCGCAAACATCGGATATAGTTGGCCGATCCTTATGAAATTTGGTAGGATGGATCAAAATATAATCTGTACCAAGTTCCAGCTTTCTATCTTCAAAAACACAAAAGTTGGGTCATTTCCGATCGTTCAGTTATATGGCAGCTATAGGATATAGTCGGCCGATCCTAATGAAATTTGGTAGGTTGGATCAACTAACCAAAAATAGAGTCTGTACTAAATTCCAGCTTTCTATCTTCAAAAACACGAAAGTTGGGTCATTTCCGATCGTTGAGTTATATGGCAGCTATAGGATATAGTCGGCCGATCCTTATGAAATTTGGCATGTCGTATTATTTTGCCAAAAATAGCTCTCATGTCAAATTTGAACTCTCTAACTCTAAAAACACCAAAGTTATACCATTTCCGATCAATCAGTTATATGGCAGCTATAGGATATAGTCGGCCGATCCGGGCCGTTCCGACTTATATACTGCGTGCAAAGGAAAGAAGGGTGTGTGCAAAGTTTCAAGACGATAGCTTTAAAACTGAGAGACTAGTTTGCGTAGAAACAGACAGACGGACAGACGGACAGACGGACAGACGGACAGACGGACAGACGGACAGACGGACAGACGGACATGCTCATATCAACTCAGGAGGTGATCCTGATCAAGAATATATATACTTTATAGGGTCGGAGATGTCTCCTTCACTGCGTTGCACACTTTTGGACAAAATTATAATACCCTCTGCAAGGGTATAAAAATTACAATACCCTCTGCTAGGGTATCAGAAAGTGAAAAACAAGGGAGTTTGAATTGTTTCCAATATCGAACTGCTCAGTTCGCTGTGGCAGACAGCGTCAAAGATACACAAACTGACATCAGTCCGAGGCCCCAGCCGACATATGGGGGACGGGTGGACTGGTGGTCGGGTGGAAAAATAATACAGGAAGTGCATTTTCATGGGAATGCGCCCGTTTGGTCTCTGCTTATGCTTTTCACAAAGGCGCGACTGAAGATGATCAGATAATTTAAGGATATACAATGTCTAACCATACAAATATTTCATTTTTCGTTGTATTAGCAAAGGCGTTTCTATTATTTTTTATTCGTTTTATTCGCTATTGTTTTTTTTTAGGAACGACATTGATTATTTGGTCCATCGATTTGATCTTCGACCTCTTCTGGCCGTGTCTGTCTGACTGTCTGGGCACTGGAGATTTAAAATCTTAATGGAAGTTCAATGAAACTTTCACTTTTGCTTCAAGCTGGAAGTGGTGGGGCTATTGTTGTGAAATTTGGGAAGAGGGGAAATTTATTAATTTGATTAATGATTCAATTTTAATTATGTTCCTGTTAATTACTTTACTAACGACATCTCGCAGCTAAGACTTGGCCAAAAACACTTGATTAACTTTTAGAAATTAAGACAGTAGCCAACAATTATCGCCCCTTTCAAAATATTAATGTTTTAAGCTTTAAATAATGTTGTCGGGGTTAAATTTTTGCGCTGCTGAGGTAGTTAATCACGTACCTTGAAAGTGGGGGGTAAAAGTGGACATAATCGGCATCGAACCACTCGCCGATCGTGTGATTGATGGCTTCGCGGGAATAGTGTTCCTGACAACCCAAAAAAAAAAACCCCCAAAGTTCGGAGATTATGAAGCGATAAAAAAACAAGGGGCGTTAGGTGAAGTTTTAGTTGAACCATTACTTTGCACTCTACCCTTTTCCATAAAGAGATGGTGACGAGGCGCAAGGAGGAGGCTTCCTCTTTGCAAACCATCCAAAAAATCAATTTCGAAACGTGCTGCAGGTGTCTCGACTTTCGGGTCTTGGCTCGTATGTCCAAAGTATCTTTTACAGAGCATCTGAACCTGACCCTGCACCTTAAGAGTTATGATGGAACTCGTTTGGCGGCCCCTAATGAAGTGCTTAAGGGGAAAACGGGAGGAGCTGGGCTGACCGACCGTTTCAGGAGGTGGCTCACTGTTGTTGTTTTAATTCAGATTTCCATGGCTTCTGGGCATGGAAAACCATTGCAAATTGGTGTGCCGTAATAGCGAAAAATAACATGGCAATTTCTACCAATAAAGTGAAAGTGATGTGAAATGATCTTTCAAAGCTGAGGATTAGCCGAAAAAAACGAGAAGAAAAAATCGGAAAACAAAGCTCTATACCTCCGACCTCACGTAGTTGCAATGTAACCAAAATTTATATACCCATTTGATTTGGTTTTCCATCGCCTTGGGTTATCAAGCAAGTGGTGATGTCTGTTTTTGGTTGGCTTTTGATTGGAAAGCTTGAAGGACCATCCATAAACTAATGTTGTACCTCATGAGTGCAGCTTATTGTCGGCTTATTGTATGATTTCCATTATTAACTAATTTACTCTATTACGCACCGCGGAAAGTGTCGTTTTGTTGACCCAAATACCATCTCACCTAACCCCAGGAAGTGTGGCCACTGAGTTATTGTTAATGATTCCTCAAGCCAAATGATTAATTGCATTTTTGGCTTCAAATTTCAACAGAAAGGCAACCTGAAATTCCATCTTCCAGCACCCTGAGCTATCTTATAGTATTTCTTCCATCAACCAAGTCTTCTGCCTTAAGTTAACATTTTAAGAAGCCCTTCTGCTATTCAAACAATCGAAAATGATAGAATTCTACTAACCCGGTCGGGGTCGGTCTGACATTTTCTGATCATGAATGTAGACTTTTCCTTCCATTGTTGATGTTTCGTGCCTACAGCGAGCAGCGATTGCTCAACTAAATAGTCAGTCGATCGAACTACACCAGACGCTGAGTCAACGAACCTCGACACAGTCCACTAACAAATGGTCTTCTATATGTACTGGCAGACTGGCAAAGTTTGTGTTCAGTTGCTTAGATTCGTTAAAAATAGCAGACGCATTTGGGAACTTACATATTTTGGCCGAGTCTAAGGGGCGATGATGATTCCTATTCCTCACGAATAAGTAGAGATACGAAAATTAGAGAAAGCGAATCGAAAAGCAAAGACTGCGAGTGAAGATTTGTGAAGATTGCTGAGGATTTTATTCAGTAATTAAGACATAAATATAGATTGCAAGTCATTTATAAACTGGAATACTAACTCTTAAGGCAAGTCAATCTGTAGGCTCGCACTGACTTCTATATTAAACGCAGAATTATAAGGAAACCCTTGAGAATCTCAGATAAAAACCAAAAAATAACAATAAAAGTGCTCTGCCAAAGTTCAAGCAGTACAGATTAGTCACGAATTTTTGCATAAAGTTGTGCATTCTAAATTCTCATACTTCCAACGCAGCTCCGGTTGGTGGGTGGGTGGAACAGCATTAAAAAATTGGCGGCCGTACCTTAGAATCGTGCCGAAATGGGGAGTGGTTCACTTAAGTTCAGATAAGTTGGTTTTTTGCGAAAAAACAAAGAGAAAGGAGTTCCTCTAAATAGGCATACATTGTTGCAAGTTTTGGCTAGAGGGGCCTCTGACTTGGAGTCTGAGTTGGGTGGGGTTTTTTTGAATGCACTTTGGAGTCGGAGTGCACTGCGGACGGTACCCTCCCAGGTTCTTGTTCTTTTATTTTGTAACAAACTTTAAGTACTGCAAGTCGGCAACCCACACCTCCACCTCCACATTCACTCCCACATTTTATTTTTTGAGTCTTCCTAACCAAAGGCATCTTCTTCTGATGTGTTTAGGTTGTATATTTACCTAACAGACCTGAATAGATCATAAAGTTTAGGGTTTCTGGGCAGAAACTTCCTAAAAGACCCACACTCTTGGGTCTCAAGTAGACCCTATCCCCGATATTTTCTGCATTTATCTCAATTGTTTAACTTCCGCACCTTCAGTTTTGAGGCAAAAGTTCATTGGAATTAAACAATTTGTGCGGGGATCTGTGTTCAGATTACCGTTGTTGGCTACGTAGTTTTTCCCGCCTTTTCAGGTTTTTTTTTCGTAATGAACCCCATGTGTGGGTGCCACCGCGAGTCGTGCCCCTTTGCGTTAATTGTAAATATTTCCGATGCTTGTATGATAAATTGAATATTAATCCCGACGACAGAGGTAAAAATTTCACAAAAGAGTTGGAGTTGACGGGGAACTTACGCAATGAAGAAGAAACCCAACCATTAAATTTCTCTTTACGTTTTGTCTTCCAGGTGTTGTACCATGAAATTGTATCACACGCTCGCGTAGTGAGCTCTTGCATCCGCGCCGCCGAAAAGGAGCACCAACTCCAGCTGCAGCAATTACAGTTGCAAAAGCAACACCCAAAGCTGTCGAGTCAACAGCCCGCTTCATTGACCAGCAATTGTTCGAGTGAGTCAACCAGCGAGTCGGGCACCAAGTCGAGCAGCCTCAGCAGCGGCTTTGTCTCTGACGTCTCCGAGGTGAACACATCCATCACAGCAATAGCAATAAAATCCACTCAGCCGCCCAGCCACTCGCACCACCAGCACCACCCGCCGAAAAAAGGTGACGGAAATCTGGAGCGACTCCGCGACCGCTATCACCTATTGTACTTAAAGGCCTTTGAGTTGCAACTCTGCCTGGACAACTTGCTAAGGAAGCGCAGCTCTAGATCCGTAAGTGCCACATCCTTCTATTAAATACAGAATTTTGCATTCCCTCGGGGTCTCGGAATAGCTGCATGCATCCTCCTCCTCCTCCCCTGCCACACACGCAGATCCAGACCATGAAGTTGTGAACCGATCGAGTGCATTGCCAACACTTTCTTGAGTACCACTACGCTCTGACAGCCTCGCAGCTATGGGTTGCCCTACATTTCAAAGTATCTAACAGATTTTTCGAAGGAGATAGGTCGGCCAATTTCAATCGAAAACTGAAAACTCAACCGAAACTGAAACTTTCACTGTAGGCGACCCAATGTGGATACCCGATAGCCAATAGCCTAGCCGCAAAATTAAAAATGTGTTTAGGTCCAGACTCTGGACGGATTTATTACGTTTCTTTATATCTACTCCCCAAAAACTTCCCCAAAAAAAAAAAAGAAAGTAATCCCCCTGCTCTTTATTTAAGAGGTTCAGCTGCAGAAAATTCTATGACATGTAAACAAAATACGATTTTAATTTATTTATTGGCCCAATTTTCGTTTCTTACTATGGTTATTGTGTACTGTTCCTGTTCCCCGGTTTGTTGTTTGTAATTCATGTTGTTAATTGTTGGGAAATTCTGTTTGTTTAATGGCGTGGAAACAATAGCCCATTGTCTGTTTCTGATCGAATTGAAGGTCGGGTGTTTTGTTATTTTAAAACATCTGTTGGTTTAGAGCTGAACCTCAGCTAGCTGCGTCACTGATCTTGCCACTAAAGTTCTTCTCCTTCAATCAAGTATTTCCTCAAAATCTACAAATTAGCTTCAATCGGTGATTAATTTCGTGAAGAATTTAATTGGCTTCATTATACCTTTGTCAAGTTGAAAAGGTGAATGCCATCTTAAGGTGGTAGTTCTCTCTAATTCGGATCAGTCGACAATGTTGCAAATGGTGAACGCATATCTCTAAAGTTATTATAATTGGCAGACAAAAAATGGTTTCGCCACGGGGAATTACCAGAGGAAGCCAGTTTAGCCGCAATCATTTTTCTGGCAGCCTCGTCGAAATTGAATGGTAACCACAACATATGCTATATGCTATATGGTATGCACGATGTACGTTAATTGCTTACACATTTCCCACATGCAGGTTGCATGTTTGCCCGAAAAGTTGAAGAGAAAAAAATTAAATTACAGGGCGGTTTAAGCCACACCCGCTATTTTTTGAATAAAATGCGGAAGATAACTACTTTTTGTTTTTCATGGACAACAATATTCGCCAGTTTCTCATACAAAACCGCACTGGCTATGGCCCGAAAGCTTTTGGCCAACAAATTGTTTCACAATATCTGAGTACGGACGTGTGCTGCGCGCTTGCTTCGTTCCTGCATCAATAGAAACACCGTTGGCTGATCTACTTTTTGGTTCAGATAATGACAGATTGCTTGGTTAATGTTGCTTGGTCTGCGGCCGAGCTCTTGCCTGATATTTTTCCCCTCTCTCTCGAAGATATTTCAATTACCCGGAGTAATGATTAATGCTATTTAGGTTAGTCGATGTTTTACGAAAGCACCAGATCGATCGAAGAATTTCGCGAATGCTTCGCTCATATTTGTTGAGGTTTCAAATACAATAGCTACGATCATCTAGAGAGTTGGCTAAAATTTGTCTTAAAATATCTGATGAGGGAAGCTTTTTCAATTAATTCAAATGCTGCAAGTGACCTCTGAACGGCGGACACTGGAATTTGGAAATCCAAGCTGATGGAGATGATTACACATCGCCAGTGGTCGAGGCTTTTTGGGAACTTGTAGTAGCTTATAGCTATAGCAGTCTATAGCATTTTATTTTTACAAAGTGCTAGAAAATTAATTGCTGTTTAAAATTTCGAAGACCAGAAGGGAGCGGGCCGGTTGTGTGTTCGAGGGAAGGTCACTTGGGGTTAGCTGAAGAAGGAGCAACAGTGTAATATTTTTGGAAAAAAAGCCTCAAGGTCTCTTGCAAAACATTGCCTTCACATCTCACATCTGTGGTGGGCGTTGTGAGAATCGGAAAACAACAAAAACAATCAAGCCTTTACGATCAAAATGGTATTTTCAGAATGGTTTGGATGACGACGACGAAAACGAACAAGAGGATACCGAAGACGATTCTTTTGGATACGAGGAAGAAGCTTGTCAGGACGAAGCTACCGAAGACGACAGCAACGATCTAAACTCTGATCTGGATCTTGAGAATCCCGATCTCAAGTCGTCCAGCCCGGTTGAGTTTATACTTCAACGCTGCCAGATAACCGCCACACAAATCGACTGCCAGCCGCCCACGTCCCCAGCCCGGGCCAGCCCATCGCAGAAGGAGCCATTGCCGACGGATCAGCCTCGCGATTGTCTTGCACCACAAAAGGTAAGTCAATCGGTAGTTTTGTTAGCTGTCTGCGTGATTTGCAAATCCATTTCTAGTTGTTGTTTGACTTTGAGTTACTTGTTAGCTTAGTTGCATGCCTGCCGTCTTTCATAGTACTGTCAACTTGTTAGTCTTACTTATCATAACCCCAATCGAAACTAACTAAAAGAAGACCAGTTCAGATGTTTAAAAAAGAAGAAAACCTCTAGCCTAAAGCCAAAAACCCAAATGAAAAGATTTATTCAAAAAGAAAGAATTAGTCCATGTCCTGGAAAGAAAGTGTCCTGTTTATGATGTGTTAGACACCCACCATCCTTCGTCCCCCTTAACATATCTGTCTGTTTTGTCACCCTAAACCCCATTTGCCTGCACCTGAAGCCCGGCGATGAAGCCGACGAGGAGCTAGACGACGAGGATGATAATTCAAATTTGCCAGGCTCTGATGTGGTGGATTTTCTAATCCGAGCCAAGGGCTCCTGGCGTCAACCCAATCACCCAAAGACCAACTCCATTGGTTGCCCCACTTTAAGCGGCTTCGAGGCCGATTCGGAGAGCAGTGACTTTGAGCAGATTGCTACTTTACCAGTGGTCACAAAGGAGATGCCCCAGAGTACTAGCCGAAACAGTAACTATAGCCAGTTGATGGTGCCGCTGCCGTCCAACATGATGCGTAAGAAAAACATAGCTGTGGCTGTAATCACGCCCAATTCGCACGGAAATACCAGCAACGGTGTTGCATTGCGTCACGGGCTAAATCACGAGACAAATAAATCACCAGTGGGGTTGCGAAAGTCGCGAAAAAACCACACCGATATCTCGAAATTCAACCGCTCCAATCGCAAGTCAAAGAACTGTGCAATTTTCTACTTCAAACACCGGGATACGGACCATGAGCAGAGTGCCAATACAGCTGGGAGTGATCTCCAGAGCGAGGAAGATCGAAGCCAGGTCTGCCAGCAGAGATCATCGACTGGTGCTGGAGACGTAAGTACAATTATTAGTTACCACGGCTCATCGGGTAATTCGATGCACTATTGGATGGCTTTATGGTGTTGGTGCAAGTTCTCATCTATTCGTAGGGGAAATGGTTTTCTTTTTTTCCACACTATAGTGCTATAGTTGGCATGATTTTCCCATAAACTATACACACTCTTTTACTAACAGAGTTCTAAGATTCTTAAAAACATTTAATAATACTTCGTTCTTTTATAACCAACTTGATTAACATTTAATACTATATTTCTTCTATAATTTAACTCTTTATTTGGCTAACTATTGGCCGCACTTTTTAATCTTTTCTAATCGACTTGATTGTTAATTCTTGTGTGCTTCCGCCCACATGGGTTAAGTGCCTTAAGAAGTCAACAATCAAAGTGGAAATAAAAAAGTTGCCAGTGAAAAGGCAATGATACTTAATTAACATTACTGGCCGCAGCATCCCAAACGGGCTTGCAAACAAAAAAAAAAACAATAGTCGGTGCATGTTACAAGTTGAAAACACACTGGCACTCCAGCGTTCAGCAATTTTCTATTTTGCGCGAGTAATGCTAATAAAACTTAATTTTCCACTAGTCTGACTTAATCTCTTCCCCCCCACTGGCGATGTTTTAATGTCACTGAATTCTTCCTTCCCCTTCTGGCAACCTTTAAACTGCCATTTTTCTGCCACATAGACACTCAAATCGGCTGATGTCTCAACCGATGACGACGAGGAGGGTTGGCTATACACAGCAACAGCGACAACGAGGCGCACCGCACCAGCAGTCGACACTGAAGATACTGGCGCTGGTGCAAGTGAAACTGCAAAAACATCTATTGTTGATGATCTGCAGCCCATGAATATTTTTTCGACCACAGAAACGGGTGGAAAACTACTACTGCCGACCGGAGAAGACAACGACGACGACGACGTTGACTTCCACAAGGAGAAGAAGGTGCTGGCAACCTTTGCAGCATCGCAGGCATCGCATAGCTACAGCAGCAACTACGAGAGTAGCAGCGCCTGCTCCTCCTCCAACTCAAATTCAAACGGCAGACTCACGGAGACGTCGGCCACATCGCGAGTCACTCAGATGCAGGTTCACGCCGTGGCGGATTTACATCCAAAAATGCAGAGGGAGTTTCAAACCCATGGCAATCGAAGCGATGCAACAAACAGCCGTACTGGCACTGCCACCAACAACAACAATTTGTACAGCAGCAACATGCAACAAAATACCACTGAGCGACCTGAGGAACTTGGCAGAAAAATCCTCGATGAGATAACTGTTGATATGGCAAATGGAAACACCAGCGATCCTCACCAGGTAAGTGGCTGCAGGAGCAACTTCAGCAATTTCATGATAATATATATATATTATAGAGGTATTATTGTTAAAAACATAAGCAACATTGACAATATAATATTGCATATAATTGTAATTTAATTGAATTTTCTTTTCTATAGATAATCAAAAAAGGTTATAGTCCTGAGGACGCATGCAACATCAGCGTTTCTTCAATTAAAGAACCAGCTGATTGTCACCTACTGTCACGTAATCCGGAGAAATCGGCCACCGCCACCTCCACAAAATCCCCGGCCAGCAGCAACAATGCAACCATTTCCGCATCCATGATGATTGTTTCTTCAATTAAGGTACGATTTTCAAATATACTTTTGTTGATATTTTCTGTTAAGCTGTCTCCGTGTCTCTGAATTAATTCACAGTTTTTTATTGAAAACCAAATAATCCTAGATACCCCTAAAAATGTTTATTGCCTCTTAAAAAAAAAAAAGAAATGGTGTCTGTGCAGCTATAACACTCTCACTTATGTTCGGTTGGTGAGCATGTTTCAGCAGTTTTGCAGATTAATTTGCATTTGGATGTTGTTACATACAATATTTCCATACGATGGACATTTGTTGTTTTCCCAGACTGCCTCGTTATTTTTCCTTTCGTTGCGCTGCTACGCATGCGTCTAGTGGTGTGCAACGAGCCGAGAGTGAAATTTCGGACCACTTTTGTTAATTAAGAGCCATTCTTCGGTTTTTCCAAATGGTCTTTAATTTTTTGCAAGAGATTTTAAAGATAAAGCTTTAAAGATTTTATTAAAAAGGTTTATTTCAAGAGTTATTCAATAAGGATTAAATAATTCAAATTCAAACCATGATTTCTTTTTCTATATTTAGAATTAAGGTTATATAGATAAAATCATTAAACGCAAAATAAGGTGATTACAAATTTAAAAAAAAATGGAAAAAGTACTCATCACGTTAAAATTATCTTATCGGCGGTAAAATATATAGATGTGTTGGACTGACGATAACAATAAAAATCGTTCAAACAAAAATATAGAAAATATAACCTTTATTTTGCGAATATTTGGTGAATGGGAAGCTGGCATACCTTGCAGTTAATCAACCAAAAGGACTTTATGAAATCAAATCATAAAAAAAAATCAAAGCTTACCACAACACTTTAGTATTATAAACTATTTTAGAAAGTAATGGAGAAAACAATAACATTGTAATGATTTTTTTTTTGTCGAAAACACTAAGAGACCGGTGTCGTTTGTTTGTAACTATAATAATAGTCTTCAAATGAGTATTATTGTTTGAATGGGCCTTGTTTTAAGAGTACACATCCAGTCATTTTTGCACCTCTTACCTACTAGTCATAGGTTTTGAATCAATTGTGCGCAGTTATACAGAAAAAAAATTATCTTATCAATTTTCCCCTAAGCTCTCAGCGACACTCCTCTTGACAAGCCATTTTATTATACGCTTTTCTGTTCGACAATTTGTTTTAATTCATTTTAACCCGAGTAGCCGAGGAAGTGTATTTTAAAGTGTGAGTGCACTTCAGTCCAGCGGCAACGACTACCACGAGTAGTCCGATGGAGCATTAGCCTTAGTGCCGTTCGAAGCGTTAGTGCCAACGGACTGAAAAAATCGGGAGCCGCTCTCGCCAGCTGGTATACATTGTATATATATGTGTTTATATATATTTAAAATTGGTAACACCAAAAAAATAGTGTAAAAGTTTGTTAATAATTAATTAAGTTCATAAAAATCGGTTTCCAATAATAGTTTGTTTTAATAATATACATATCAGGGGTTAACGTTAACTCCCCCTCGTTTAACATAGTGTGATAGATACAATAATAATCAAAAATAAATCATAAAAAAATACCACAAAAGAAATCATTAAAAATAAAAAATAAAATCAAGAGCTTCCTCCTCCTGGTTTATCATACAGTGCGCTTAAGGAACATAAAGTTACAAAAAACATTGTTTTTTAATTGAATGTATTTTAGTTTCATGTTTTGTATAATTCAACAATGGTAACCGCCCCTTCTTAAGTATACTTTCTATACTATAATCAGTTAGAAATAGACTTAAAAAAAAAAAAACCCTAAAAAAGAAAGCAGAAACTAAGGAGTAAATTCTCCACCTCGCTTCTTATAAGCTATAATTCAACAAAATGAAAATGCAATAAATCCGTATATATATATACTTTTTATATAAATGCGAATTAGTGAGAAAGAGTTCAAAAATAAAATAATAAAAGGGGGAGATTTTCTAGCTTTGGGCTTAATTTGCAGACCGGTCACCGGCGTCCACATTGGCAATAATAATTGCCGTTAATTATCGCAAACGCCCGATCGGGTTTTGCGATCGCAGACCAGACGAAAAAAAAAAATAGTTATACCAAAAACTGCAAATCCGTTAACAGTACGCGTCGACTTGTTCGTTAGGCACTCAAAGGAAATTGTTTCCGTTTTGTCTGCAGTGACTATCAGACCACTCTCTACTTTGATCGCGTGCCTCATACTCCGGCTTAATTCAATTAAGCTGAAAATGACCCGTTCACCATCGACTACACGAGCCATGTTTTTAAATCAAAAGATTCAACAAATAATACATCCGGAGAGGTCTCCGAAACACACGCTGTTCCGCCCAGATTTTACGGAATAAAATTACTATGTGTACTCCATAAACAGAAAGAGAAAAAAGAAAGATAAGCTTTAAACTGTGGTATGGTGCTGTGTTTGAGTGGCTGTTTTTATAAAATTCCGATTGAAGTACACTTGTCTTCGATACTTCCACTTTATGATACTCCACTCCCTTCTCGACAATCTTATGAACATCCATAGACAGTTGTGAAACGTCTAGATGAGATTGGACTTCGAGAGAAAGCAAATATCGACATATATATTACAGAAGTTGAAACTATGATATCTTTGAACTATAGAGACTCCTATTCTTATGTCTAACCTCATTTTCTTTCTTACTTTCTCTAGGGCAAGGCCTCGCATGATGCAATCAAACAATTGGTGATGGAAGCAGAGCATTTGGTGCGCGACACCCAAGAGGTCCCTCTGATGACACCAACCAAGCCGAAACATTCCATCGTCAAGATCTCTTCGACGGTCAAGAAGCGAGAAGTAGCTCTGTCGCATCCCATCAAGCAACGCGTGGAGGTGAGTCTTGTAATCACCTGCTTCCATGTCTCTCTATTTAATGAATTTTAATTGTCTTTCAGGAGTGGCTGGAGCATCAACCTTCCACACCCCAACTGTTGGCAACCAGTCATAGTCATACTCACGAACTAGTGCCGCGCCGCAAACCAGATGGTTGTGAAGCATCTGGAGAGACATCTGAAACAGACTCTGTTCCCCACACCGGAGGAGCCGCCGGAGGTGGCCTCAACGGGCCCGGATCGGATACATCCGAAGGCTTTACCGATTCCATAGCCACCTGCATGCAAAGAAGCACCAATTCCTTCGGAACCTCCATGGAGCGCATTGGAGGCTCCGAAGAACCTATTGAACAAACAGTCTCCAATGTGTGTAATGAGAGCAGTAATCAGAGCCTGAACGGCAAGGTGGTAAAGCGCCCGCAGACGCGCCGAAAGTCTGACAGACCTTGGTCCGTGTCGTGTCTTTCACAACTGGCCACAGACACGTCTCAGCTGACTTCATCCAGGACGGCGGATAACTCCTCGCCCGGATGGGCCAGTCATTCAATAAGCGAGAGTGCTCTCGACTCTCTATCCCCTGGGCCACGACCTAGAGCAGCTTCCTCGTCGGGAACTGGCAGTAATACAGCTCGAAAGGCAGATAGCAAGGGATCACTGAGACGCAGGAAGGCCAGAAAAAAGCGGAGTTTCGCTATTTCGGCTGGAAGGAAATCGGATTCTGGATCCGAACTGGGCGGAGATCTTACCCAGACCCTTATAAAGTCCTGCGAGTCCATGTCCTCCCAGCAGCTGCAAGAGTTCACAAATGCTTTGCTCAGCATTCAAAAGGGAGCATCCGTTGCTCCTCTTCACCCGAAGGCGGAGGCTACCTTGGACAGTGGCCATGCCAAAGGGAAATTCGGGGAATCCCAGTTAATGTTGCCCAAATTCCGAGTTGGATCCCTCACCACCGCTGGACTAATAGCCAGTGATACGCGATTGGGAGCTCTGGCAGCGTTATCGAATTACATGAACGAAAACGAGCAGCAAGCTGGTGAGTGTATGGCCTTATAGAAGCTTTTATTTTATCTGTTTTAAGTCTGTTTTCTCAAACAAGCACCCCAGCCGGTACAGACCAGGCGTAAAGGTATTACCAGTGCACCCATACCCCGTATAAAAAAAAATAAGCATTCTTACCAAAACTTTTTAATCAGAAGATTATTTTTATGAAAGAAATTTTTATTTTTGTTTGTGTTTAGACATGTTAGACAAAAGTTCACATCTGCTACATAATAATAAATCAAACCCCATCTGGCAATCTAAGAAGACTATTTCTTTGTCAAAAAAAGGCATCCGATTCTATACTTGTAGCTTGAATGATTTATGACAACATATCACTGTCTATAAATCAGCTATAATTGCTATATTTTATATTCATCTTTTTCATAAAAAAAAAGAACAATACCCAATGCTTACCTTCTCTCTTGAAATGACTAATTAATTTATGAAAATAATCGAAAATTTCCCACAGAACTGAGCACCGAGGACCATCACAGCAGCATCTCGGAGACCGCCTGGGACAATTACCAAGAGAAATATAATTCGGAAAACTATTCCGAGGGCTTCGACTCTGATGCAGCCCGCCGTCTCTTGGAATTCGGCGACGACTATCGGTGAGTAAATTACATTCGAAAACTTATGAATTCGACCTTTGAATCAGTGCCAAAATTTATTTATATCCGAATTTTACAGAAATTTCATCGACTCACAGTCGGACTGCTGCAGCTCTCTTTCGGCGACCAACAATCTGGACTCGTTCTCGCCACCGCGTATGGATTCGCTGCAGAAACGCGAAATTAAGGTTAGCCACATAACCCAGGAGGCAATCAGCAACTGCGTGGACCACGCCCGTCGTCAACGAACCCTTGATATCCAGTACGAACGCCGTCGAAAGACTTTGGAAGTTAGACGCAAGTCCTGCCAAGGTGAGCTACTATCGAGAGAGTTTGATTTTATATATTTTTTTCAATTTTTTCCATATTTTCTTTACAGACATGGATAAGACACCGTCCACACAAGCGAAAGTTCCTTCACAACCAACCCTTTCGGTCTCCACCACAGCGTTGATTACCACGCCCAAGAATCAGTCCAGCCAGAAGCTTAATCAGTGGGCAGAGGCAGTTGGTCGCAAGCTGGAGTTCGGTGGAATGAGTCATTCTGCTCAGTCCCTCTTGAGGCGCACCTCGGAGAGTGATACTTCCACCCGGAGACGGCGAACTTATACCGCAGATGACAGAAGGCGATCCTCGAGGAACTTGGAAAATGGCATCAAGCCCATTCTCACCCCTGCTTCGTCCAGCAGCTGTTCAGATTCTGAGGATGGGGAGCAAGAGATACGATCGCTGTTGCTGCAAAGTCGCGATCGCCTAGAGGATACAAAGGCTCTCAAGATCAGATGCCACTTGCTCCGACCAGAGGATTACGTAAGTTCCCTAAATATTCTTTCTCATAATTGGTTTCTGACATATTTATTTTTATAATCCAACTAGAATGAAATCATCAACACTTGCCGTGACAACATACACTGCCTGGAGGCTGTGCTTCGGGGCCCACCCGGCACCGTGATATCCAACCACTGTGCCGACCATACAAAAGGTGAGTTCCAGCATCCACATCCATCGTCATCAAGCTTTCCAGCGGATAAGAGCGGACTGCGCCGGAGACGGCGGCATGCGAACAGGTACCAGGCTGAGTTAGAGCTTTATTTGACGGCCACGCCAACGGAATCTGTCGGAGATTGCCTGTCCAAGCCACGAATGGCACAATGCCAGTGTGCTCCGATTTCACGGTTTCTGGCGCGCGTCATCGAGTTTGTTCTCAACCTGGGCAATATGCTGGAGCATTTTACACTCTATAGGTTTCTGTCCAGGACCCTAAGATCGCTCTATGATCTGATCAATCGACCGGTTGGCGGGAGACTAGATCGTTTCTTTGCCGGCCTAAGAGGATTGTTGTAAACACTGTAATACGGCTCCAAGCTTTCCCTAACCAGATGCCTTTATAAAAGTACTGCTTTAAGCGTTCCTTAACCAGAGATGCCTTTAGATAAACAATATATTGTTGAATACGATTGTTAATATTATGTAATGGTTAAGAAATTTGTTTTTGCATTTGACAAAACACACCTAGAGTCGAGTTTATTTATCTTCTATTTAATATTCATTAACATTCATCGTTCGAGTATAATATTAATCGATTTTATTTGTTTCTTGCTATGAATTCTATTTTCAATTATTCCTTTTTTTATTTTTTAGAAATAAAATGCAAACACCAAAATAAAATCAATATTGTTATAATTTTTGAACTTGCGTTTTTATTCGTTTGTCTTATAATAATAGCGTAATACTAGTTTTTATTTTGGTGTTTTGTCATATTGTTATCTGTTTTGTAAATATTATGTTTTAAGATTGTTTGTGTTTTTTGTCAAATGTCTAAGCAAATTAATTAACAATTATTTATTGCTTGCTGCTGCTTTTGCTGATGAATCTCTTAAGAGGACCATGAAGCCAACTTTAAAAGGTTTTCTATTTTATTTATTTATTTTGAGCTAACACATAACAAAACAAAATCTTCTTTGTTAGCACAGATAATCGCATCGATAGTGAGCCGAAGTGTTTTTTTTAAAACCTATTATATTATTTATGGTTTTTTTTAATGAACTAAGTATTCATAAAACGCTTATTCATTAACGCTTTACACGGTAGTGAAAGGTAGTGCATGTCTGACTTTGGTAATTTTTATTATTGTGCATTTAAAGAAAAAATTAAATTAATTTAAATGTTGGCCCCGCACTTAATATTACCATTAAAAGTCATAAATCTTTTACTTATTTATCAATCATTTAGTTTTGTGGGCTTTTAATTAAAGTAAAATGATTATACAAAAACAAATTATTAAAATTTATGTTTATGCTTTTTTAAGGGTTAAATTAGTAGCTCTATAGCAATATTAAAAATCCCCAACCCTTTAGTTTCTACCTCTACTGTGTTTTCACACTAGCAAATTTTTTCAAGTGTAAAAAGCTTCCATTTCGAAGACGAAGCATTCAGACTTGTATATGTATGTATGTATGTTTGGTTCGCTTAGCTTTTAATCTCTCAGTTTATGGCTTTCCCTTTGCTTGCTCGCATCTCTCAGTTTGTTTTCTGCTCTCGCTCAAAGCGGTTACTATCGTAAAGTGGTCCAAAAAAAACCTTACCAGAATCTCGCCCATGTTCCCAAAAATGACTGTGATAATATTAGTAACTAAGTAACAACCTAAGCTTAAAGTACGCCGTGAAATAACAAAACAAAAAACATGCCGTTTCGGAAAACGTAATGTCGTGCTTTTTGGGTGTCTGTTATAAAAGTTTATACTTGGCAGGCAGGCATGAGTTCCACGTTCACGTCATTTCCTAAATTCGGGGTCTCGGGGTCGCGTAAACAATGCTCTGCGGTGCTCTGAACACTAAATTGAAATGTTAAGTTGATTACAAAAATGTATTTTAAATAAACAATTTGGCCAAAGTGGTGCAGATTGTGTTTGAAGAAGATATCGTCATATATGAAAATAAACATCATATATGTAGATTTCTTAATTTTATTTTTAAAAGTAAACACATGTGACGATTGCTCGGTAGAGCTTAATCGGCATGGGCAAAGTAAGCGTGGCCGTCCAAACGGCCATTTCGAATATGACTTCAGAGAATTCGTCTACCAACTCTTCGCGATCGTCATCGGAGCAAGGTAAACATTATTCTTCTTTAAGATACATGCGAACACGTTATGGCCACTACAGACGGATGATTTTGCTCAACCATAAAAATGAATGAATAACTGTGAACGAAGTAGTGGGGCAATTATGATGAAAGTCTTTTTAAAGAAGACCTAGTAGAGATAAGCCACTAAGGGCTGGAGAAAGTTTTATAAAGGGAGATGAGGCCACATGAATCATGGGAGTATTACCTCATGTGTAAATAGCACCATTGATTGAACTATATAAATATGTATGTAGATACATAGGTACCTCGAAATATTGATGAAGTCAGGTTTGAAACGTTAACAACTTACCACGCTAATGATGAATAATGATGTTTATCTTTATTTTTGTCAGGAATAAAACATGTATATACATATACCCATCTTATATATATGTACTATTAAGGGGTGTTAATATCCTCTGATATAGATAAAGAATAATATGAATTAAATATACTTTATATGGCTAGGGGGTCTCTTTTCCAGCTTCCCACACTTTTCGACAAAAGTTGAAAAATTATGAAATATGTACTTAGAAAGACCATAACGAGATTTCAGACTCTTATTTTGTATACCCGTCTAGTGTTTATCTTCCGGCTTCCATATATTAGTACCAATCCATTTTCATCCAAAATCCCCTTATACACTACCTTTTCAGATTTGCTCTCTGCGTGGGGAGATCTACTCGCCTGGACTGAAAATGCGTCCGAAGCTAGAAGGCTTCAGCATGAGATGAATACTCTTAAGAATACACTGCAGAGATTAGGGGACAACTCGTCGCCGAATCTACTCGACACAGAACCTGCCATCCAGATAGCCGTGGAGTTGTTAGAGGTAAGCATTAATGAATGATAATTAATTATTATCATTAATTATGATGAATAATTACAATGATTAAAATCCCTCCTTTTAGTCCGAGAAAACGCAGCTGGCTAGCTACAGGACCAACATGCTTCAGTTGAATGCCTCGGTCCACAGCTGGCTGACTCGTCAGGAGCGCCGACTTCAGAAAACCCTTGAGGAGGAACAACAGGAGTCCGAACATCAAGCGGAAAAGCCTTCCACGCCGTTGGAATTGGAATCCAAGGAGGCAGTGGCCATTACGGTCACTGATAGCAATGGAAACCAAGTTGAGGCAGTGTCCGCGGAAAAATCAACAAAATCTACTGGAACTAAAGCCTGGGATGTGCTTTCTCTGGCTTCTGCTGAGAAGGAGTTCCATAAACATCTAAAAGGCGAGGTTAGCGATATGTACAGCGCTTGGGATGAGGCAAACTCGAGGTGCGTAGAATATTAAAAGTATCAGAAAGTCATATTAATTATGATATTAATTTTGCAGAATTAACTCACAACTGGAGCTGCTTACCAATTCTCTAATTGCCTGGCGGCAGTTGGAGTCCGGGTTGAGCGAATTCCACTTGGCTTTAGGTCAGGATAGGGGAACTCTCAAGGGATTGGAAGGAGCTTTGGACAAGGGACAACAGACTTCAATAGAATTGGCCCAGAATGTGAAGCTGGTAGCCAAGCTCTTGTCTGAGAAGGTTCACGTTGGGCAAGAGAAGGCTGTCCACCAGCATCTGGATCCCAACTTTATCTATCAAATCTCTAAGTTTAAGGCTTCGAATGGATCCCTTTCGGACTCTGGCATCTCCGATGGTGGTGCCACCTCGGATGGCGGTTTATCGGAGCGGGAAAGGCGTTTAGGTGTTCTTCGCCGACTGGCTAAACAGTTGGAACTGGCTTTGGCGCCAGGGAGTGAGGCTATGCGTTCCATTGCTATTCAAATGGAAAATGCTGAGGCCGAATTGAAATATCTCCAAAACACATGTCGGGATTTGATTGTCCGCACGGCAGCTACCCACCACGAAAGGCAGCAGCCGGCAAGCCAACAAAACGAGGTGCATCAAGCGAAGGTGAATGAAAAGGTTCCTAAAAAGACGACTACCAGCAACTCCCAGCCGTCAAGCCCTGGAAAACGCGGCAAAAACTCCCGCAAGCCACAAAAGTCCAAGGGATTGAGAGAAGGTCCTGTGAAATCGCGAAATAACTCTGGAAAGGACAAAACTCCCCAAGTAAATGAGACTAATAATACCAGTTGCGTCGGTGAAGGTGATTCCACAGATGATCAATCGCTGCTCATCAAATTGGAAAGCTCAAAAGACGACGACGATTCGGAATCAAACAACTCGGTATCTTTGCCTCGCGGTTGGGCGTGGCGCATCGCAAGAGCTGCTGTACCAATGCAAGTGGCACTGTTTACCATTTTTTGTGCTGCCTGTTTAATGCAGCCCAACTGCTGCGACAACCTGAACAACTTGTCAATGAGTTTCACGCCTCAGCTCCGGTATATTCGCGGCCCACCTCCGATGTGAGGTCGAACAAGTAGACTACTTAGCAGGCACTAATTGGAAACCTTTTTTGGGTATAACTACTTTATGCCAAGGCATTTGCATGTATTTACAGTTGTAACTAAAGTGTACCTAGAGCAAGAGTCACTACGGCAGAGCTTCTAATGGCCAGCGTACTTCGGGTAAGGGTCCCGAACGGCGTTTAACGTTAGCTGGTGGTTTTACGATTTTTACATAAAAATAGGGACAAAGGAAAAGCTAGTTTTGGCTTTAGTCAAGCTACTTCAATATTTTTTTAAATTGTAACCGTATGGAAGCTACCCCTTAATATAAAAAACCTAAAAAAAATGAATAAAAAAAACTTTAAAACTTTTTATAATTCTGTTTGTTTTATTTTTGAAAATACGCATTGTAAACCATTCTGCATTGAAATGACAGGAGAAATGTGTGGCTCAAAATTCCGAGTCATTGCCGGCCGTTTTAGAATTCCCAACTAGTTCAAGCGTCGAAAAAGTATAAATAGAGCGGCGCTGTGCCGAAATTTTTTTTCACAAAAACTTAATATCTTAGCCATTTTCCATCCGATATCGTCGAGAGTTGCCTAAATCGATTCAGGAGAACCAAATTAAGCGATTGATGAAAAAAAAATTTGAAGTTTTAATCCCAAAATTTGTTCAAAGATTTTTGGAAACTTTTTTGCATCGATCGTTTATATAGGTCTTTACGAGTTGTTTAAGACACTCCTCATGAAATTCGGTTAGCAAATGACTGAAATTTTAAGAGTTTTGAAAAAAAATTTCGGCCGAGCGACGCTCTATTTATACTTTTTCGAAGCTTGAACTGGTTGCGAATTATAAAATTTGCAAAAAAAAATTTTTTTATTCCTCGGATTTTGACCTAATTTCCGATTTTAATGCAGAATAGAACGATTCTAATGAACAATGCACTTTATTAACAACAATAATCTTAACTTGGCTTAAACTATTTTGGCCAAAATAATTTTTTGAGCCTATGAATATTTTTTTCAATAAATCTGTTGAGACTATTCTCTACAAAATAAGGAAAAAAAAATCTAAAAACTATTTTAGATGTTGATGCAGAATGGTGAGGAATCCAGAAATCGTTTAAAACACTCCGCTTATGAATCGGATGTGAATTGGGGAAGATATATCCATCACATCTAATTTAAATATGTTGTTTTTCCTATTTTTTGATCTAGCTTAAAGAGGATTGGATCTCTAAATCTGTGTTCTGTTTTCGAATCGGTCGAGAAATATTTAAAGTCGAAAGTAAATGAAAATTTAAAAAATAGAAACTAACCAATTTTTAAATAAAACACTCTCTTCTTCTTCTTGTTTTGGCAGTCACTGTTTTATGTTATCGATACAATGCAACACTATCGATACGACATCCGAAATGTTTCGATATATTACCGCAAAGTAAATAAAACATAAAATGAAAATAATTGCGTATGGAATTGTATGGCTGATTTTTACACAAAGCCATGGGGCTGCTGAAGATTGTGGATGTTCGAAGCTGAACAGAGAGCCTAAGGAAGATAAGGAGCAGTTGCTACAGAAAGTTTGCCAGCAAAAATCCCGCAGTGCAAGCAGCCACTACCGAGACTACTATGGAGAGCTGGAGCAGGAGTTGGAGCCAGAAATCCAGAAAGGGAAGAAGCAGCTTCTAAAGGATGCGGAGGAATTCCGATGCAAATTTGGCGAACTGGAACATCAGGAATTGGAGCCGGTAATCCACGCAATGTCGTTAATTCCTGGAGGAACTTATAATGTGGGCACAAACGAGCCACATTTCCACGGGGACAGGGAGGGACCTGAGCGTCAAGAGAAGATCAATGACTTCTATTTGGACAAATATGAAGTTACTAATGACGCGTTTTCCATTTTTGTGAAAGACACAAATTACACTACGGAGGCAGAGGGATTTGGTGACAGCTTCCTGTTCAAGACACTGCTTAGTACCGATGAGCAGAAAGCAATGGAGCACCTTCGCGTGGCCAGTGCTCCCTGGTGGTACAAAGTTTCTGGTGTAAGCTGGCGCCATCCGAACGGTAAGGACAGCAGCCTTGGAGGACTTGAGAATCACCCAGTGGTCCACGTTACGTGGCGTGATGCCGTAGCCTACTGCAAATGGATGGGAAAGAGGTTGCCCACTGAGGCGGAGTGGGAGGTGGCCTGCCGGGGCGGAAAGGAGCGCAAGCTCTTTCCTTGGGGTAATAAGCTAATGCCTCGAGAGGAGCACTGGCTCAACATATGGCAGGGTGACTTTCCCGAAGGCAACTTGGCAGAGGACGGGTTCGAGTTTACTTCCCCTGTAGACACATTCCGGCAAAATACCTTCGATTTGTATAACATGGTGGGCAACGTTTGGGAATGGACAGCAGATCTTTGGGATGCCAACGACATGAGTGAAACCCCCAACCGAGTTAAGAAGGGCGGCTCGTACCTGTGTCACAAAAGCTATTGCTACCGCTACCGTTGCGCAGCCCGGTCTCAAAACACAGAAGATAGTTCCGCTGGTAACCTGGGTTTTCGATGCGCCAAGGATGCGTGATCCATATTCTTTTATTATATAGATATTTGTTAAAAAATACCTACTTTTAAAAAGTAATAAGAAACCAATAAAGAGTACTTTATACTTGGTACTTGGAACCCGACCCGTGAAACGAATGTCGAGTTTCTAAGATTAATTTATTATCTTTATTATTATCTTATTTTTAATCCCTTTGTAAAGTTTTCGCTTGATATTTTCAAATATTTATGTATATAATGTTACAGTTCGCTTATTGTTAATGGGTAGTGTGTATATGTATGAATTTTCGCACATCTTTGACTATCTGTAGGTGCTATGCAAGCTGTCGGATTCTAAATCTTCCAGATTCTGGCTAATGCGTGGGCGCAGCTGTGCGGCGGCTACAATGTGGAAATACGTAACTGCATGGCGGAGGATGGAAAGGAAATGTGAATTTACAAACGCTAAGGACTACTGGTATACTATGTACAAAATCGAAACTTAGACGAGGCGACTGTCTCTGATGGGCGGAGCATCCAGAATCCCTGATCGTCTGGCACAGAGCGGACGATCGCGGACTGGTGCTCTCCATTCTCAGATGCTTTGCTTAAAATATCACATGCAAATTATAAGCGACTTCAACGCTGTCTGCTGGAGATATGCCGGCTTCAGATATAAGCGGAGACGAAGTGTAAGGAACATGGCGATGTGGGGCGGGAAGACTCATCTACGATCGTTGGACAGCAAGATTCCTGCTGCTAATACTGTTCCCGATGGGATGGGCCCCATAAGGCTTTCAGGCGCCCACTCCCACCACAGCCGATAGGTGCACCGCCTGAAGCATTACGGTTTTCAGCTCGCGAGCCAGGCTGTTAATCTGCAGCACGGAATCCACCATCTCCTGGACAGCACTACCGCTCGGAAAGTGGGCGGCAGCCCGCTTTGATTTGGAGACACACGTCTTCAGAGCCTCCGACAGTCCATTGGTGCATCGCAGAATCTTGTCGCGCAACGCCTCCTTCGAAATATTGCGGTGCACGTTATCACCGATGGTCACCAGGTTGTGGGCACTCACAACAACGAATTTTCCATAGGCAATGAAGAACTTTGGGGGCTGATTCTTCTCCACGGTTTCCAGGAAAGAGTCGATCGCCTGCATCAAGTTGCCCATGTGCGTGGAGATCTGCTGGGCGTAGTAGCGTACCAGCTTCTTGTCCTTGTCGGTCATCTCGGGAGACTTGCACGGCGTCGTGGCCAGCTCAGCTGAGAGAGGGTTGGCCCCTGATCCAGAACTGGCACCTGAGCCGACTCCCATGGCCGCGCTTTCCGCTGAGCGTATTACCGTGTCGAACTGCGTCTTGAGACTAGCAGGAATGGCCTCGCGCAGAGCTTGGTTTTTACGAGCTGCTGCGTCCTTCGACTCGAAAGAGACGTAGTCATAGTCCTCCAGCCACTCGGCGCTGCACTGACCGCCCTCCGCAGGGTTGGGAGTGCCTCCGTTGTGCTCTGCTGGCAGTTGGCGCTTGAAGAGCAGAGAAGCATTTCCCTGAATGAAACTGGTGGTTGAGCGGACGTCTTCGGTGAGTGTTTGGGCGCAGGCCATCAACTGGTCCAAGGCATCCGGTGGACGACAGCCATGCTTTTCATCACTGCGCGCCAGCAGATCCACGGACCAACCGCCTTGTGCGTCCAAAGCTTCCGAGGAGTCATGAATCAACTTATTGGCGTCCCGAAGAGCTCGCACCAGAGGCCGAAGCTTTAGAGCCAATCCGCGGTCCTCGGATCGCGTCGCGTTCCCCAGGGCTCCCTCTCCGAACTCAGCCAGATCATGCAGAGCAGTTCGCAGTCGCAGGGCCGCCAACTTCAGCTCCATGACAGCCGGCTCCAGGTTAGCTCGGTTGCGCCAGTTGGGCACCACAAAGCTGAGCAGACGGGTAATAGCCGCGGTTGTCTGAGCCTGCAGTCTTGCTAATGTCTCGAGGGCAGAGCTCAGTTCCAGAGGCAGCTCCTTGGGGCTTTTGGCAACGATTGAGGCGGGGATGCTGGCTGGAACTCCCATTCGCTGCTCCTGTTCCTGAAGCGGCGGCAAAGAAACATCGTAGGCTGGGCGCCGCACGGGCATAGGATTCCGACGTGGGATATCGTAGTCTGGCATATTAGCTAGTGACGAGCGATTGGAATTGGAGAAGCTTAACGAGAGGCTATCGCTGGTCAGCAACGATGAGGAGGAGCTGCTGGGTGTCATGTGGGAGAGCGGCTGCTGCTGATGCGACAAGGGCCGGGGTACATCGTACGACTCCTCCTCGATGGAGGCGGTGACGCTCTTGAGGGACTCGAATCGGGTACCGAGGCTGGAGCTGCAGGATCCGGAGGTGGGAGTCCGCGGATGGGTGAGGGTGACTGGGGTGGCAGGCTTGGGGATGTCGTAGGTTTCGAACTCGCTGCCATTCGGATTGGAGGCCATGATGGAAAGGTTCTGGTAAATTCTTTGGTTGCTGTAGATCTGTTGATGGGGCGAGCGTGATCCTGCACTTGGTCCTAATCCCCCAGTTCCTTGTGGGCAGTTGTACTCGTAAACATCTCCGTATCGCTGCGGTGTGATTACCTGAAGAAAAAACAAGAAATTCGTTCTTAAATCAAACTCTCTTGGGGATATAGATTTTACAACTGGTATGCTACTATTACTACTACTACGGCAACACCCACTCCGCCGTCAGAACATATCGATTTTCCCTGGCTTGGATCTGCCTTGAATAAATCTGTGGCTTAGGAATATTCAGATCTGGGTGTGGCTGGGCCACTATTCACCTTGTTTAGGCCTTTGCTCTACGCTCTGCTGGTTATCACATCCTGTGTCCTTTTTGGTAACTATGGCAAAAAATGCACAAGTATCAAAAACCGTGTAAAAGGCGTCAAAAAAGTGCCACAAACGTAGCTGTCCAAGGAGAAAACTCGACTGCAAATGGTAACCCGACAGAGATGTGGAAAATGGGGAACATATTGGGACATTTTTGGCGCTTGCGCAGAAAAATTCCCTAAAATACTACGATGGAGTGCAGTCGTAGGCTGAGCCGGTTCAGTGTCAAGGTAAAGGACCTCTATCAGGACCTCTATCATAAACCATAAAAAGATAACTGCCACAATGTTTTTTAAATATTTTTGTTTTCTGGTAATTAAATATTGCTATTTTTTAAAGCCATATTCAGCTGTCAGCGAGAAACTACCCTATGAATTCAAGGCCATATGGTGGCACAGAATGATTAAATATATAATTTTCCACTGCAGCACATGGCAAATTCACAAATTTTCCGAGCACGTACCGCAAAGAGACACGCCTCTCGAAATGAATCGATTCCTCCCGCTTTAGAGATCGCTCCTTATTTGTTCCGGATGAAAATAAACCGGGGTCACCATGGAAACTTCTACCTGAGGTGACCACCGGTGGTGGAACCTAGGCAAGGGGGTATCCCTAGCGTACTCTTATGTCCTGTTTAGATACCCTTACTGGGGTTATTGAAGTGCCAATTGACGCGTAACACGAGACAACAAAAGGTTCTGTTAAACTCTAAACGAGACAGCTGAAGCCTAGGCATCCGGCCGACAAAGGACTGTCTAATTGTGGAGGATTCGGAGTCCAGAGCAGTTGAATCGGTTGTAATAGGACCAGGGGGAGTCGTCCTATTGTCTCTGAAGGCTTGGTTTCCAGGCGGTCCATGGCGGGTCACTTTATTGTCAATTTCGCGTGACTTTGCCTTGGCCTGGCCAAATGCCCAACTGCCCGCGGCATATGATTTAAGATTTTGCAAAATTTGTGACACAATTGGGGCATTCGTGGGCTGGCCCGAGACCATTAAATTCCGGTTACCCCCTGGAACATTTGCCTTTCTTTCTGGTATTCCGTTCACTTGAAGCATTTCGTACATTTTCAAAATTTTTAATTGCAGTTTGATAGCCGGCCGTTCGGATTCTCGGTAAGTCATAAATAATTTCAGTGCTGGGGTGTGTAAAGATCTTACTAGAGAGCTCTCAGGCCTGTTTCATGTTTTTGCTTTGAATTTTAAAAACAAGAAAGCCAAATCTCTGAAACAGTAGTAACAAGACAAGATAATATCTTGAGAGTTTTGCGGCGCGTACGATGCATTTTAATGCTTCTTTCTTCGCACATGCCCTCGCCGAGAATCGATTAAATAAAGAACCATGAGCAGTGTTTCGCCACGCAGGTTTCCAGAAGTTTATTGTTGACAAATCTTCACATTTTCTCACGTACGGATCGAAATGAAAGATCCACGTTTGTATGGAAAATGTTAATTATCGTGGAACGAACTTCCCCCGAAGGCATCTCTCTGGCAACATATCTGAGAAAGAAATGTCCTTTATTTCTCAAGCCTAATCTTTCAGTTCCCTGGTTGATCGACGACCTTATGATCTGGTCTGGTTGTCCAGCGGCGAGATTTTCTTCACATTTGGGACGAATCCGCATTGATGGTACCCCGTGGATGGATGCCTGGTTGTCTGGATTCCTGGCCATAAATACAATCTGACCATAGTCTTGGAAACGCACAAATCTCCGTAGAATCCGAAATACAAAAAAAAAAGAGTTATTGCGGCGACTTTAACTGCATTTTTAACCATTTTTGGGCAGTAAAATAAAAATGACATGTTTTGCTCAAACACAAAGTCGTCTCTTTGGACCTCTCCATAAGCCGCCTTCGAGCGGGCCGGTTGTATTTGGCCACCTGACTCGGCTCTCGATTCGCCTTGCTTTGGTTTGTGCGTGACGTAGATGGAGACAAAGTTCGGATCGGAGTCGCAGACGGAGTTGGCCACTGTGGGCAGGGGCTGCCGCCTAACGGTGGAGGCCAGTTTTCTGATGGCTGACCATAAAGATATGTGCCCATGTGGGATGCTGGAATTTCCAATGTATATCTTAAGCAGCAGCGGCCCAAAAATTGCATAATATTCCAACTTCCGTTCTCAATCAGACGATGGAATGTGGCAGGTTACCAATATGTATGCTAGGTGCATGTAGGACTTTGGAATGGATCCCTATACCTAAAATGGGTCAACAATACTCGACGCTTCTGCACTCCACCAGACGCTGGATTGACGCTTCCACTTAAGAGCGCCACCAGCCGATGGGTCAAGTGCATGGTTGGAGTCTATCCCATTCCCGCACCATGCATGCATGCCAGAAGTCAGTGACGCCTTCAAGTGACAGCGGTGCGAGGAGAGACTTTCCCGAGTCAATAAAACTGAAGGCGAACAAAGGCAGTGCTTATCACATAGCTGCTCTTTAGTAGGCAGGTTTCTCCAAATCTTCGACGCTCCCAAAGGCATGGGCGTTCAAATCCGCGACTCTCAGTTGGTAGAGCCTGCCGCCTTAACTCCAAGTCGGAATTTGAATTTATGGTTTCACTTGCCTCCCGTTAAGATTGATAGCTGCCGATAATTCGAGGAAATGTTTACGACTCTGTAATTTGGGTTTCATTTTATTTGATTTGCCTGCGAGTCAGTCAGTAAGTCAGTTAGTCTGTAAGCTAGCCAATCAGTCTGCAAGTTATTGGGGAAAAAGCGAAAGTCCACCGATCCATGGGTGCATCGGACCGAGCCATCGTTGGATCGTCGTCAGTTTATCAACAATTGTGGGCCGGACACAGTCTGGGACTGCAGAGGTTTAAGAGCTTCAAGCCTTCATTTGACCGGTTTAGGCCCTTTACTGCTGCCCCTTCTAACAACTCCCCCCATAAAGTCTTTAAATCTCCTCGTTGAAGAGACTCTGGACGAACACGCGATCCCCATGATGGAAAATTGTTCGTTTCCTAAATTTTCAAATCGAATCGAATCAAAGTGAGAGAAATGCAAATAAAACGCACGTCCAGCTGACAAATTGGCCAATTATGAGTGGCCAGAAGCTGCGACCAGGCAAGGAGTATATGCCATAGGGGCAAACCCGTTGGACAGCTGCGGTGGAGCCACCAGAGAAATGCCATGAAGTCATGAGGATCGGCACCGCAACTCTTATTAATTGCACAATTACGACACGCAGTTGACGTGCGATTTGCAGAGGAAAGCTGGCGGGGATCGGGTCTCCTCCGCGGACGGATGAGCGATAGACCCCTCAGAGCTCAATGATGGAACGATAGACCGTGCCGGAGGAGTCGAGAAATTGCTTTCTTTCACTTTCCTCGGCCACATCGGCAATGGGATGTGAAACTTCCCCAGAAATGAAATCAATTAAGTTCCAGGCCAGATTCCCAAACTCCGGGACGTTTTCAGACAGAGCGGAAAATGAAAAATTCGAGTCCGTAACCTACCTTGTGGGGCGAGACGTGCCAAGATTTCCTCGAACCCCGTCCCTGGGATGCGGAGGACTCTGTTCCCAGTCCAGTGATGGCTCCTCTCGCCGAGGAGGCTCCACTAATAGACCCGTTCTCGTAGATATCCGCCGAGCAGACAGAACTATTCAGCGTGGCTGTGCTGGCGGCGAGCGACGGAATCGGTGAGCTGGCTGGCGATGGCGAGAAGCAGCCGGAGTCGTAAGAGTTCAAGATGCGTAACCGATTGCCCGGACACAGGCCCTGGAAGAGGAGAGAAAAAATAGAAATCATTATTTATGAAATAGGAAGGTGAACTCAATTAGGACGAAAACCAAATGATTTGTTGGTTTTTAAAGTTATGTAATCCACAAGGCAAGTCTCTTAAAAAAGTATCTAAACTCCTATCCTTCTATAAATGGCTGCTTGGCTCATTGATCTCAATTGATTTCGATTGGCTTTTAATAAACTCAATGCTGTATGAATTATTAATAACTGAAAAAAACTATACTGTATCATGTTGTTGGGGAAATATATTGCAATATTTTACTGCTTTATGTTTTCTTTAATTGACGAGACATATTACGTGCCGTTTCAGTTTATTTATTCCGCAGATCATTTTTGTGCAACTGACACGTTTGAATGTGATTTTCGAGTTTTTCCACACATTGCTCCCAATGCTACCACATTAATGTCTTGGAGAATGTTGGCAACATATGTTTCACCTAAAATTATATGTGTTTTTGCTTTTTTATGCCACACATTGTCGGCAGTCTGGCCGATTTTGGGTTAATTGTTTCCATTAAAAAGTTTCAGCTACTTTTTAATTAGCGGTAATTGGCGACACATACCCTGGGTACGTACAATGTGTATCTCCGCAACGTATGTCTCAGAGTATCGGCTGAGATCGTTTGATTTCCATTTTGATATATGTTTTGACACCATCAGCACCATCAGCACCGCGGTTGATTTTGTTTTCGGGGCCAATTGAGTTTTTAATTAAAAATTGACGCCAAGCGACGTGCAGAAATTTTAAATGCGAAAAGTTAGCTTGAAAAGCTCCCCAGTCTGGCATTGTATTTGCAACATTGTGGGGCAGATAGGCGGAGGGGCAGTCCAAGGCTGCCTGGGGCGCTGAGATCATTAGCCAAATTGTGGATCGAGGCCAGAGTCTGGGACAGTGCAGAAGGGCTTGGATTGATAAATGGGTATTAGATTTGAAAGTTTAGAGGCGAGTAGGTGAGAGTTCAGGTGATTAAAGTGTAATTTGGATTCAATAGAAATTGGAGACTCCAGGTTTATAACTCTCGAAGGTAAGAAATGGAAAAAGTTATGCAAATACTTCGATCACCTCATAAGGAATTCAGACAGAACCCAGACACAATGAGGGAATAAATAAAGAACGAAAACAAAACACTCATTAAAGGGAAGAAACAAAAACTGAAATTAAATGGTAGGAGTTTCCTCTTTGGGATTCTTGGGGCGAAAAGACAAACCAGTTTCCAAACTCAGAGATATTCTAACCAGGATGACGAATGATCTTTTGAGGGACCCGAAGCCGAAGACCCAACTCACCTGTCGGTTGCGGAGGGAGCAGAGCCACCATCCCTGAATGCCCTCCGTGTCCTGTTCGATGACCGTGAGGATGTCGCCCTTCTTGAAGGGCAGTTCGTCCGGTGTGTCGGCATAATTATCGTAAATGGCCTTGGCATAAAGTTTCTGCAAATAAATCAAAGAGGATTGAATAAAATTATAAAAAGGTTAAGGAACGAGAATGGTATGTTCGTATAAAGTTAGGGGGTATAATTTTTAAAGCTCTTTTTTTTATGGGTTTGAGTTTTTTTTGGCTCATGCCGCTCTCACTTCAATAGGTTAGATGGAATTTCAGGTCAACTTGGGTAGGTTTCCTGTTAGAGAGCAGGCCAAAAAAAACTGAAACGGGATTGCTTAAAGGGCAGAGGGATTAAATAACTCGAAAAGACCCGGCAGATTGAAATCGGAGATGTTCGCCTCTCATCCTGCCGGCAATTTGAAGAATCTTGTAACACGACCGCTGGCATTCTCCAGCAGATTCTTCTTTCAGTGCATCGTAACGGGCAAATTGGAAATTCAGTTGAATGCGAGACTCTAACTCGTGTGGCAAGCCAAAGTTTCTTTTGCTCAATGAATGCCCAACTACCTCGGAGTATGTGTGTACATATATCTATAATCTTGTGTTTTGCGGGTTAAGTTTGCTTTTAATTTCGCCACCGCGCAGCCAAACTGCCCGAAAAAAAAAACAGAAACAAAGACCGTGACTGCTCCTTCCCCCTGCCACATTCACCTTTTCAACCCGTTCCACTCCCCATTCAGAGGCTCAAAAACAAAAAACAAAAAAAAACTTTAAAAAAGCATTAAAGAGAGAAAAGACTGGCAAGCGATTACAATATCGAGCGTTCAATCGCAGCTGAACTTTCAACTCGCCGTATGCCTCAGTATAGTAGTATGTCTGGCACTGTAGTAGTTGTACAATAGTGTGTAATTTGGACTTGGAAACCCGTTTAGCCGGCGACGACTATTCTACTTTTCAATTTGGAAAGCGCGATGCCAGCGTTCAAATGTCAAAAAGGGGAAAAAAATGAGCGCACTTGAAGTTCATGTGCCACTCAAACACCGTCAACGGATGTGTTGGCCAAACAAAACCAAAACCAAAGTGGTCCAAAGGTCCAAACAAAACTCCACTCGGAGTAGAGCTCGGCTTTCTTCTCCAGAGACTCTCTTTTGGAATGACTTTTTTCACACTACGCTAATTGGGGGTTCAAATATTTGAAGATCAGAATTGGGGATTGAAGTTCCGTCTGGTGGTAAACAAAATACATTTCTTGTTTAGTGACTTGCGGGAAACCAAAACGTTGGGGCCACTTTTTTTTTACAATTGTTTGCTTGTTTGTTCGAACAACTTTAATTGGTTGGCTTAGTGCATTCCTCCTAACAGATTTCCCTGCAGAAGTTTTTCCTAGATCCAAGAATTATTTCTCTTTTAAACCACATTGGCGGCTTCATATGGCGGCTTCATAAATTACCAAAAAAAAGGTTGCCTCTGGGCTTTGCCGCAGACCGACCCGAGAAGTGAAAGATATGAAGTATGATCAGTGGTTCGGCTTAATCCCCTCCACGGAAAGTAAGCTGTTTTTTTTTGCAAAACAAACTTTGCCTCTCTGATGTGTATGTATATTGCTGGAGCAACTTGAAGCCTTTCAATTACTCAAACTCCAAGAAATACTTTTTTTTCTCATTTTCAAGTGGCCATAAATAAACAACGCTGCAAGATTAAAACGAGCGAAGACGCCGCCAACAAACAGCTTAATGAGCATTGAAAAATCAACAAAAAATATAATTTTTGGTTACTGGTCGAGAGATTTCTGCGACAAGATGACTTTATGTTTCTTTCCGTTGAGCAAACCCACTAGAGCACTGCCAATAAATTCCTGCATATATATTTTTATACCCTTGCAGAGGGTATTATAATTTTGTCCAAAAGTGTGCAACGCAGTGAAGGAGACATCTCCGACCCTATAAAGTATATATATTCTTGATCAGGAGCACCTCCTGAGTTGATATGAGCATGTCCGTCTGTCCGTCTGTCCGTCTGTCCGTCTGTCCGTCTGTCCGTCTGTCTGTTTCTACGCAAACTAGTCTCTCAGTTTTAAAGCTATCGTCTTGAAACTTTGCACACACCCTTCTTTCCTTTGCACGCAGTATATAAGTCGGAACGGCCGGGATCGGCCGACTATATCCTATAGCTGCCATATAACTGATTGATCGGAAATGGTATAACTTTGGTGTTTTTAGAGTTAGAGAGTTCAAATTTGACATGAGAGCTATTTTTGGCAAAATAATACGACATGCCAAATATCATAAGGATCGGCCGACTATATCCTATAGCTGCCATATAACTCAACGATCGGAAATGACCCAACTTTCGTGTTTTTGAAGATAGAAAGCTGGAATTTAGTACAGACTCTATTTTTGGTTAGTTGATCCAACCTACCAAATTTCATTAGGATCGGCCGACTATATCCTATAGCTGCCATATAACTGAACGATCGGAAATCACCCAACTTTTGTGTTTTTGAAGATAGAAAGCTGGAACTTGGTACAGATTATATTTTGATCCATCCTACCAAATTTCATAAGGATCGGCCAACTATATCCGATGTTTGCGATATATATCCGGTTTTAGCTGCAAGGGTATATAAACTTCGGCTCCGCCCGAAGTTAGCTTTCCTTTCTTTTTTTAAAATATTTTTGTTTTTATTTTGTAAATTTTAGTATTTTTTTTTGGTAAATTTTGTTTTTTTTTGGTATTTTTTTTTTTGAATTTTTCGGTATTTTTTTGATATTTTTTGGTATTTTTTTTGGTATTTTTTTTGTCATTTTTATACCCTTGCAGAGGGTATTATAATTTTGTCCAAAAGTGTGCAACGCAGTGAAGGAGACATCTCCGACCCTATAAAGTATATATATTCTTGATCAGGATCACCTCCTGAGTTGATATGAGCATGTCCGTCTGTCCGTCTGTCCGTCTGTCCGTCTGTCTGTTTCTACGCAAACTAGTTTTAATAGAAGCTTTTGCGACAGAAAATGATAACCTTCGCCTTCAGGAAGCCGATAAAGTGACAATAGAATAAAGTTAAAGCGCTTTGTCGCGTGACAGATAATGTTTTTGTCGATTTTAATTAACAAAAACTTGATGAAATTGAAAAAGAAAAAATAGCAAGGGCAACCTCAAAATGTTCAAGGAAATAGATGGGCTGGGTCACGAAGATACCGATTTGGTCTAACTTGGCCACCTAACAATGTCTTCCACCGAATGGCATCATAGTTAGTAAAGACTTTGGACTCTTAAGTTCAGATTGATTAAAGGATACCTTGAGGGTTTTGTCATAACCGCGTTGGACTGGCTTTTAAAAGAACTAAATAAACATTTGTCAGCAAGGCAACTTGGCCAGATTTCGTCAACAACTTTTGCCCAAAATATATATAAAAATAAAAGCAAAGCTAGCATTAAACGCGGCATGTCAACCAATCTGAAACCGGGCCAACTTGGCTGGAGAAACACGTTCTCTGAAAACCGAGATCCGGAGCCCGGAGGAGGAGACGAAGGCCCAATGAGATTGCCATTGACGGTAAACTGCAGTGACAAGTGCACGACGGGCTGGATCTAGCTCCTCCGCCAGATGTCACACCAGGTCAGTAGCAGAGCTCCAGATGGGTCCAATGGGCTGTGATCGAGTCAATGAAAGTGCAATTGAGTCTCCACCTTTAAGAGGAGGATAGAGGCTGTGGAGGCACAGGTCAATTGCAGTTCACATTCCATGTAAGTGTAGACGGTTGTGGGGACACACACTTCCCACGCTAATTGAATTAATCGGTTGAGTGATTCGTTATTGAAAGATATAGTTGAGCAGTTATAGCTCTGAATGCAAATCCAAATAATAGTACAATATTACAATACTATTACACCCGAAATATAGCAAAATGTGACTCATATGGCAACGTGGAAGCAAACAAAACGGCCGATTCATTAACTTGGTCATCTTTTTACCAAAAAGTAAGCCGTTATTGAAATAACAAAGGAAATTAACTGAAAATGAACTGCCAATTGTTGACTTGAAAAATTAAAGAAAAAATAAAACGGAATTCATACAAAAATATAATGTCGACCTTGGCAACAACTTCAAGTGAAATATTTCGCAATAACGTTGCAAAACGACTTCCCCCGCGGAGAGAGAAGGAAATGATTGTTCACGAATCAGGGGGTACGACAGCTTTAAAAATATATTTTGAAGCGTAACTAAAAAATTTTTAAAATATGTACATACATATGTACTCTGTAGACTATAGACTACTTATACATATGTACGTCCTGGAACCTTAGACAACTAAAACAATCTCATAAACCTTTTAAACCCAAAACCCAAGCAAAAGATCAATCATTTGGTAACTCAAGGAAAGCCAAGCATTCAATATAAACAATAAATCAACTAGAAAGACAGTATATAATTTGTAAATAACTAAAATAATGGCTGGGATCAAAGAACTTTTTGAGTAAAACCATGAAATTAAGTATATGTTTAAAATGAGAAACTTTAAACAATTATATTTAAATGGAAACGATCTATTCATTTAAGATACATTTATATTTATTCAATATATATTCATTTGGGGCAGCCCCTTCAGCATTTCTCAAAACTTACTACACTCTGAAAAGCCTCTTCCCATTCAGTCGAAATCATTAAGCCAACATTGACTTTGAGTTTAGGTATGAGGAATACCCCGGATGTGACTCATGGCTGGGGAATTACCAAGTTAAGGTTATCGGTAAGAAAAAGGTAACATTTCTTAGCTTCTAACCAGTTTTGGGGACGCCTTTGAGAGGAGATGAAGAGCCCCCGTGAAATGTATGCTTCGCCTTGAACTTTATGTCGGATTTGGAAAGAGTCTTTTTACTTTTTGTTGGACGACTTTTGATGGATTACAGTTTGGGTCGATTCTCTAAGCCTCCATATTCAGTATAGGCCCACGCAAACCCTTGGAAAAACGTCATGATGGATTTCAGACAAGAGGCAGTGATAAGTTACACAAGTTTTGGGATGAAAATAAGAAGGTTTCCTTACGCCAATGCCCCAGCCATAGCGTGGAAGATCCCCAATAAACAACAGTAGTATGGCAAGCGAGAATTGGTTTAATAATTTATGGCGCTACTGCAGTTTCTGTAAGTCATCTTTGGCCGCCAGGCAACTACGGTAGCCCATCTCCGCTTCGGTGTAAATGGGCCATTAAGTGATTAAAGCCACAAAGTGCGGTAAGTGTTCGGAGTCATCGAAAACGATGAGTGCCTCCCGGTTATACATAGTTTTTCCGTTCTTATCTTGAGTTTCTGTAATCGCCGAAAGGCTTATTTCCGGTGTTGATGGCATAATAAACAAGAGTGCACAGTGACTACCTCAGTCGACCTACGGCTAGTTAGTTTATGGCCAACAGTCTCAGTGGATAACACCCCATCCTTCATGCCACATCCCACAGGGTTCTGAGAATCTGAAGGACTTCCCCTGATGAGGGCTATTATTTATGTTTTCTTCCGGCGGAACGTGACAATTCATACATGCAATTTACAAAAGTCACATTTCGGCTCTGTTGACAAAACCTTGGAAAGGTTTTCTCTCTATAGCCCTGTATTGACCAAGGTACCTGGTACTACCGTATCACCGAAACGGTGTTAGTATGGATAAACAGAGTGCAAAAAACCGAAACAAATGCCTGTGAGTGACACCTGTTTAAACTGCAAGTTTCGCATCCATAAGTTACACTTTATCGCTACTTGGCAGTTGGCCTATAACTCGTTTGAGTGACATGTCTTTTGTTTTTTTCCTGCGCGGCAGTACATAGCCATTAGATAACGAGCACATAATCCCCAGTAAAGCGACCTGCACGCACCACAGCTGAGGTGTCGAATGTACCCAGATAAAATGCCATTAAGAGTACAATACCACTAAAAAGCGAAAGTTTTCTTGAGCTCTATGTGGAACTCTAAATTGATTTCACTTCAAAGAAAGAGCTCCTCTTACTAATCTTTCTTAGTTTTATGTCTAAGCCTCACACACATTCCTTAAACTATATCCAATCAGCCAGAATTTCGCTGCTTTCCGCACCTCGCAGCCTTAACCTTGCCCCATTCATCAATCTGCAAGTGCCAATAGTCAGACAGATACAGCAACTGCAACAGCTAGCCGGCAACCTGTTGAACAAATTTGAATTCAAAAATGTTTGCACAAGCTGAGCGCTGAAATAAATTAGCTGGCTTACGAGCTGACAGACTTTGGACGGAAAATGTTACTGTGTGCCTTGGCCAGACAAGCCATCAAGTGGCCACTCGGCACCGGCGGAGAGATGTTAATGCAAATATGCAAATGCACTCGCACTCCCCAGTACACTTAACATTCTGGGGCTGTTGTCGTTACTAAGCTTGAAATTAAATAAACAACAACGTCTAATTACAAGAGTTGTGTCCCAGACAGGCCCTCATCTTCTCCTGCAGGAGGACACCGGTTCCGAGGCCTAACAGCCTCAATCGCTGACACAAAGTATCCCGCAATTGAAGGGTTACCCCGGGGCCAGTACAAGCTGCAAAGTGCAAGAGTATCTCTGGTTGGTCTTCTTGGGGATGGCCTGGCCTGGGACACAGGTGAGATTTAAATAAATGTGCTCCAAATGCGCACAAATGCGAAAAGTAATTGACGCCCGGGTCTGGGTCGTTTGCCTTTAAGCCCCAGAGGCGTTGCGTCGTCTTCCTCAAGAGCCGGTTCTTTCGGTTCTCAGCTTAGATTTCGAAATGCAAACAGCGGAAAACATTCGAAGATGGGTTTCCTTCTTTCTCGGTCTTCAGCCGTCTGGTCTCAACTGCAGAAACCTTCTCTAGAGATGCGTACGTGACTGGAAACTGGCTCAGAATTATACAGTTTCAACAAATTCTCGATTGCAGTTTCTATAAAATCAGTTGTCACGCAACTTTGCCTGCCACACACATGAAGCCTAAAATAGCAAAAGGGTCTATTAGCATGCCGGTGACTGATGGCAATCAATTAGTCCCCGCCAGGCCCATCCCCGGAATCCCCAGGACGTGCGCTTGACTGAAGGCTGCAATCAGGGGGAGACTAATTGGGTCTCAGAGGAGGATCAGCCCCCGCGAGTGCCCCCCTCAGAAATCAGTTAGTCTGGCAGCCATGAAGACCACGAAGGTAGCTAAAATCGAATCGAAATTTCTTTATCGAGCTGGGCTGGGAAAGTACCCGATAAGCAAGAGCCAAAAACTATTCCACGGGAAATCTAATCAGTTTCGATTGAGCGTCACGCCACACAGTTTTGTGGCCGATAAAATACCAAAAAAACCAAGTATAAACCCAAGTAGCAAAGCCCTTATTATTAATTACGAGATTGTGCCTTGGGAGGTCTTTCTCGGGGTTATCTCTCCTCGGCCTGTTATCCTGCGCCGAAACAGCCCTCGTGCAGACTCCCTAAGGGACATCTGCACCGCATTCTGATTAAGAGGGCGCCCCACCGTTCTCGTCTAGACGGAAAACGCATTCTCTCGCTTCGACACTTCGTTATGGAGTGCCTCAAGTGACTATACCAGCCTTATAGCTCTGGAAAATTGATTAGAATTAATGTGGCTTGTGGCGTCAATATCTTCTGTTTGGAGACAGCTGCTGAAGTTGATTGAGTGGATATCTCTGGGTATATCTTTCAATTTACGGTCATAGGCACTTGGCTTTTAAATAATGTAATATACCAACCATTACTCGAAGTAATGTATAGTAATACCCCTCTATTATAGCTTTGGCTTAATCCCTAGAGTTACACAGAGTTACATTGTCAAAGTTTCTTGTCATAAAAGGTATTTTAATATCTCCATTATCTGCATCTAATAGAGCTTACTGCACTTTATTCTGAATCTATTTGCAGTCTCTAGTCGCGACGCTGTTAATTCCTATCTAATCAGGGCTTCAGTTCACTTAACGCTGGCAAAAGAAATATCTTGAGGGAGTTGCTGGCCGGCAGTGGCGGTTTAACGCGGTGAGGTCATGTTTTTTTGCAAATAACACTTAGAAGCTTTAAGCTGAGTTATCACGACTTTGCGATATCTCACCTGTGCCGTAAACTGGCACAGAAAGCGGTGTTGCTGCGAGGTGATAACGAATGTCAATAGAAAAATTGCGGAAACTTTTTCAGTTATCCCCCTGACAGCTGCCAGAGTCAGAGTCGGAGAGTCAGGAGAGGACATCCGTTGCACTTGGTCGATCTGATAGCTGTGTGCCAGATCCTGGCAACGGATGACTCAATCTGCATTTGCAGTTTCGTTTCTACTAACCGTTTTGATGTGGATGCGCCGCGAAACGGGCACATCATAGTCCAGGTCCGTGTTTGTGGCATTCGAGCTGCAGCACGAAGCTGACATCGAAATGGATGAACTGTCTAGCATGTTGGGTTTGAAGGGATTTCTTGAATGACTATTTATTGTAGGATTCCAACACTGATTCCAGATTTCACCGATTGCTGTTTCAGATTAGCTAGCCCAGCATGCTGAGAACCCGGATCGAGATGTTTAGATATATTTAATCCAGGACAATATAAATAAAATGTCTCGATGTGGGTCTGAGCGATGTGTGTGTTTCGCCACTTGTATCTCACTTCACTATGTTTTTATCTGCAGCTCAGCGGTGAGCATTCAACTTCGCATTCGCATTCGCATTGGGATCTGCATTTGTATCTTGTATCTCAGATTCGCCGAATCAGCTTAATTTCAAGTTTAGCCGCGGGCAGTCAAAAAGCCGAATGGAAACCCGAAAACAAAAGACGCTGTCAAAGCACTAGCCCAGCAAGTCGCCGTTTTGCCGTATCTTTCCTCTACTAGTGTTTCGGTTTGTTGTTTGCCACGAAAAGTATCTCGTATCTCGTATCTCGAAGCGCTCCGTCGCGAACGATCCGCACCGTAGCAGGCGTCGACGTTGAGTGAGCTCGTATCCGTTGCTCTGAAATGTATTCGGGCCCCAGAGCGACCACGAACTCCGAGTCTGGTTGAATATGGTAACTCACCCTCGTGCTCTAAGCAAGAGGCAAGGGTCCCATAGATGGACTGGGCCGACTCTTCGGGTCTGAATGCTGTTCGGGTCTTCTCGCATATCGTAACTTGCTGAGTTGATACACTTGGAGAATAATTCTGATGATGTTTATATTCAAATATTAAAAAAAGCAAAAGGAATGGGAGGTTTTAAAGTTATAAAGTTCAATTCAGTTCCCACCTTTATAACAATACCCGTACCTATGAATGTATGTATATCTCATATAACTCTCCATATAATGTTTCTTCGATGCTCATATTGACTTCGACTGCCCCATCCTATCTCTACTCCAGTATTTGGCTATGACAAACACTTAGATATGCGAGACAACCCAATTCGATTGTATTCGATACGGATCAAGTGCAGACGTTCCTCGCCCAGTGGAATGTGTTTACCCCCGAAAGCTCAATTAGCCAGAAGATGTTGGGCCCGACCGTGCTCACGTTAGCCTTTAAAGGAGGTGGAGGAGAAGACAATCGAGCTCAGTAGCTGTCCCATGGCAGCTGTCCAAACACCTTCGAGTGCTACGAGGGCGTGAAAAGTTCTACACCCGAAAAGGAGTTCAAAACAGACATCGCCAGTTCAACTCTTCAACCTCAACCACGTATGAAATGAAGGTCACACAACTGTCCCATTAAAAGCGGGAAGTCCCAATCTCTTTCTGCCGACCCGTGAGTCCGATTCTGATTCAGAAATATATTCACAGTATAGTGCAGCTGCAGTTGTCTTGAAGAATTGGATGTGACATCTGACATGACTTTAAGCCAAGTTCCGCGCCCACTTCACTCACGTCAAGTCCGAGTCGGGGCGACGGGAAAATTGGAGAGTCGAACCGGCCTGACCCGCCGCCAAAGACATATAATCTGTTTAATATTAAATCTCAGACACTCGTTGAGTTTTATTGTGCCTTTCCTTCGGTGATTTGATTTAATTTAATTCGTTTTCATTCCATTTCACTTCAAACACTTTGAACCAACAGCTACATATATCGATTTCTTGTCTAAAATGATTTTGTTAATTTTACGACTCGACTTTTAGTTTAAAACAAATAATGGATGTGATACTTCTGATTTCCAGTCATTATCCTAAGCGACAGTGTTCCGCTCCTCCCCGTCTAATGCTCTTTATGGTTGGCATGACTGGCACTCATCTTTCTTCCAACCGGTTTTTGAATAAAAACAAATAATTCGGTATGAAACGAGTTGAGTTCGAACCACCCGCATTCCAGGGAATTACTCGGAAATTCTCAGTCCCTTTGTTGTTTTGCTTAGGGATAGAAAAAATGCGAACAAACAAAAACAGCAGGAGGAGAAATGCCTATTAGGGGACAGTCGGTACAGGACAACAGATTCGCTCGTGAGGACCCACAAATGTGTGGTCTTTAAAAAGGTATTTAAATCAATATAGCAAGACCTCTAGAATGTTTTACAAGAGACGCTTCGTATTGAAAACAAACCTGTTGATGCACCCACCTTTGATGATACTGTTTTGGATGAAAGCCCTCATAAATATGCAAATGAAATACGTCGGTGGCATCTAACTGAACCATATTCCCCTTATCGGAGCCGAGTTCCATTCAGAGCCACTAGTAACATGTTTCCATTTGCCATTTCCAAAGCCAACCAAACAAAGTATGTAAATCAGACCACGCATTGGGATTCTCCAGCGCCCTTGTTTACGTTAAAGGCCAGAATTGTAGGCGTCATTACTTTTATCTGATATATATGATATTGTTTTCTATTCTGTTTTGATGAGGGGTTGCTATGGGCGAAATATTGCTGAAATAATGACACCTGGACAGTTTCCCATAACATGACGCTTTTGCCAGCAAAGATGTGAGCCTCTGGAAATATTTATTTGCGCTGAAATTTGAGCAATTTGTTTGACCATCAAGAGACAATGATTGGGAAATGGTTTGATCAAAGTCACCCTATTGCATAACCCTCCCCAGGGCTCACATCTGTGTCCAGTAAGGGTGTCTGGCGAGGAAATAATTGACTTGTTACACTATCCGGCAGATCCATTAATTGCTGACTGAAGCCAATGAACCAATACAAATATCGAGAGGGCAAAGTAGCAGTGACCACAGTGTCTCGCTGAAACATCTCTATTAGCTCCTTTGGAAGCTGGCCACAACAATCAGCTCCAGTTCGAATGCTGGCCATGCGTGCTCCATAAATGGCCAGAACGTGCCACTTTCGGAAAACAATGCAGAAGCTGCGGGTTTGGAATCGAATCGAATGCTGCTGCACTCGGAATAGGAAATCGGGGGGGAAATCAGAAATCGAGTACCGGGCAGCGGAAACAAAAGAGATTTGGTCGAAATGGAGCACGTCGAAGTAAGGCGGCCCGACAAATGCGCTGGCTTTGTTCCAGGAATTTCCCGGCCGCCCAGCATTAACCCACCATCGGCCAAGGGGTCACATCAGCCCCCCTACGACATGCGCCGGTCAATTAAAAGCAAGACCCGGCTCGTGATAAGCAATCAGTAGTGGTGATAGGGTGAGAAGGAGGCACTCGTGTTGGGTCATAAATTCATCAATTATCTGGGGACTTTGGCACTCCTTATGGCAGCAGTCTTACAACACAACAATAGGGGCATCGATGAGTATCAGCGTAACCATTTTAGAGGAAAACTGCAGATCGAAAACAGGATGGTCTTTACGAAAAACAGATTGCATCTCGATCACACACCCCAATCATTCCCAGTTTTTGGGGCTTAGAGCAGAGTCTGCTGATAAATGAGGCACTGAGGAGTAGAACCAGCCAGACAAGTATTCAGGAGGATTTGTTGCCTTGATTTTTAGTTTTTTTAAATAATGTTTACTCAGCCAAAAACACAAAAGAAAATGGGTTAATATTTGTGGATTCAGTGAAACCATTAACTTCAAAAACGACTTCATCGCGAAGATCATACGCAGGGTATGCTGTGACCTGTACTACAATCTATAACCATATTTTCTGGAAAACTTCAAAAAACTTTGGGCTCCATTTATCATGGTGTAGACTCTGTGTTCCCCGTCCTCTAGAGATTCCAGACTGGACTGAAACTGCCGGCAATTTCACACATTGAGTGCAGGCCGGAGGAATGCAAATAAAAGCAATGGAGGCCAGCTAGGCTAAGCAAATTGCTGGCAGATGGCGGCGCGTTTGACAATTTGCCGCGAGATGCGGCGTCCTAATCGACGATCCGGTGTCGGGAAAACTCCGAATCAGGGCCCAGATCCCATTTGAGGCGACCGCTATGCCACCCAGCAGTAATAACAAACAATTTGTTTGTTTTGCTAGCCCGAAACGGAACAAGTTGTTTGCATAATTCATGAGATGGATGCAGTTGCGGTTGCACCCACATGCGAAGCCAGAACCAGATCGTGCAACCATTCATTGCAGCTTGCTGAAAATTGAGATGCAACACATAAAACAAAGAATGCTTGCTTAGGGGTCCAGCTGCAAGGAGCTCATATGGCAACATAAGTTATGGGGCAGCTCTTTATCGACAGTCCTGGGCGCCGCAAAGGAGTTGAAGGCTGAGTCCATGTCTTACAGAAGAGGTCTTCCAGATTACCAAGAAACGCTTCCAGGTTAATCTTGTTCTTGGCATGGGGCTGGATCCATAACATCCCCACTACACTCCAATAACAATGTGAAAGATATGGGGGAAGTGCTTGCTGGAAGATCTCACAGCCTTTATTGCGGTTGTCACTTGAAGTGCCGGAGATCAAAAACTTGTGTTTACAACGGCAGGGCTTGCAACACTCTCCAAAGAATGCCACGACATGAAAATCAACTTTCGATTGCAGCAGACGAACGTTAAACGGCGTCACCCGATATGGCTGAAAAAAATAATGAAGACGTCTTGCTTTTGGAAGTGAGAAACAGAAGCCGTGGAATATTTTACTTCTTGAAGATGGAGGGCAAGGGAAAGAGCACCGGGACCTCCTGCCGCGTCGACGTTTCGCTCTGATTCCAGAGGAGTAGCACCAATTACCGCAAGAACCGACCACGGCCTGTAATCAAATCCCGAAGCCTGAGTCGCGCAGGCGCAGTTAAAGTCATCTTCCGTCGCCACACAACCATTCATTGATGACCGGGCCGGGTCTCTGGTGAATGAAGCGCACACATTGCCGCCTTATGCTGCGCCTTTGTACTTTTCGCACTTTCCGCTGTGAGGGCCCTAACCGCTAGCCTAATTCTGATCACTTGGCAAAACACTGGCATCTACATATCTAGTCAAGTGTTTCCCGGAATGCTTAGGCAGCAGACTACTTCGGTTGGTCTAGGCAATGGTCAAGAAAACAAAGCAGAGATATTCCAATAATACTCCATCCCTTCATTAGTTTCGCTTACCAGATTTTCTCAGGCAAGTCATACAATGTGAAACAGGATATTTTTTCTATCCTTTAGGCCTAATAGAACCCATTGTAATAAATGGGACTATATATTTTTCTTTTCTTTAGTCAAAAGCAGACGGCATTTTTAATCTATGACTCGGTCGGTTTTATTGAGGAATTATACCTAAAATTTAAAAAAAAAACATTGACCTGCGACAATAATTTGCATTGGAAATTCCCTTGGAGTTTCGCTCCAAAAGCCAGAATAGTATCAATCGGTTGTTTTGAAATTCATTGAATAGGGAAAATAATGCCACGGCATTGACGTCAAACTCGAGGTCGGAAGTACTGATATATGTACATAGGGTGCGAAGGGGCAAGAAAAGACCGTACCTTAGATTAAGGGGTTTTGTAAATCTTTCCAAATCTTTGCCAATACATCCGATTCTGGACTTTCAATGATTTATGGACATATTTCCCAACAATCTGCATTATAACCTGCCAGGGTGTCAGCAGATGAAACAGAAATGTTGTCAGCCTGCATTTCCTCTAACGGGGCAGCATCATTAGCCAGCTTATAAATAAATCAAACATCAGGCCATCATCACATGGTATTGCCATC